ACTGTGTAAATTGATGGCACTATTTACAGTTGTGTTCAAATTATTGGCAGTGTGTTGAAAAAATTGAATAAAGCTCAAAATCCTTCTAATAGCTTTTATTTCCATACACACAAATGCATTGGGAACACTACACATTCTATTCCAAATCAAAACATGAAGAAAAAATTTCAAATTTGTGTTGTTCCTCTAAACAAATATAAGAAAAGTGAATATTAGACTGTTCAAAAAATAGCAGTGTTTGTATTCTTCTTTACAAACTCAAACATTCACTATATAAACTGAAAAATGTTTGAAGATTTTGCTTTCCTTTGAATCACTTAATGAATATTTAGTTGTATAAGCACTGTTTCTGAGAACTGCCGTACATCTGTGTTGCATGGAGTCAACCAACTTCTGGCACCTGTGAACAGGTATTCCAGCCCAGGATGATTGGACTACATTCCACAGTTCTTCTCTATTTCTTGGTTTTGCCTCAGAAACTGCATTTTTGATGTCACCCCACAAGTTTTCTATTGGATTAAGATCCGGGGATTGGGCTGGCCACTCCATAACATCAATCTGGTTGGTCTGGAACCAAGATGTTGCACGTTTACTGGTGTGTTTGGGGTGGTTGTCTTGTTGGAACACCCATTTCAAGGGCATTTCCTCTTCAGTATAAGGCAGCATGACCTCTTCAAGTATTCTGATGTATTCAAACTGATCCATGATCCCTGGTATGCGATAAATAGGCCCAACACCGTAGTATGATAAACATCCCCATATCATGATGCTTGCGCAACCATGCTTCACTGTCTTCACAGTGTACTGTGGCTTGAATTCAGTGTTTGGGGGTCGTCTGACAAACTGTCTCCGGCCACTAGACCTAAAAAGAACAATCTTACTTTCATCAGTCCACAAAATGTTGCGCCATTTCTCTTTAGGCCAGTCAATGTGCTCTTTGGCAAATTGTAACCTCTTCAGCACATGTCTTTTTTTCAACAGTGGGACTTTGCGGGGGCTTCTTGCAGATAGCTTGGCTTCACATAGGCGTCTTCTAATTGTAACAGTACTCACAGGGAACTTTACACCTTCTTTCATCTTCCTGGAGCTGATTGTTGGCTGAGTCCTTGCCATTTTGGCTATTCTTCTATCCATTCGAATGGTAGTTTTTCACTTTCTTCCACGTCTTTCAGGTGTTGGTTGCCATTTTAAAGCATTTGCGATCATTTTAGCTGAGCAGCCTATCATTTTCTGCACTTCTTTATATGTTTTCCCCTCTCCAATCAACTTTTTAATCAAGGTACGCTGTTCTTCTGAACAATGTCTGGAATGACCCATTTTCCTCAGATTTTCAGAGAGAAATGCACTGTAACCATCATGTACAACATTTGCTGCCTTCCTTCCTTAAATAAGGGCAATAATTGCCACCTGTTTTTCAAAGAATGAATGACCTCACTAATAGAACTCCACACTGCTATTATTTTGAACATGCCCCTTTCAATTAGTGATTCAATTACACAGAATCAGCAGCATGCATGTCATGGCTGTTGGGTCTGTTGTTTTTCTATTACTCTACTACACCTGCTAGTAAATTATTTGCCATGTAGAAATATCATTTCTACCAAAAACAGTGATTGATCAGGTTAGTGATGTCTGACTGCTAATATTTTGAACACAACTGTAAGTACCTATAATAATAATGTCTATACTTACATGGTGGCACCCCCTGTTTCTTTTTTCTGATCTGATCTTGCTTCTGCAATCTCAGAGAGGTACAAGCTAATTTCCAATTTTTTTTGGTCCAGTATATAAAGATAAAAATTAGGGAATTTTAAATAAAATACAATTGTACTGTTTTGAGATACAGTATTTTACTTTTGATTGTTCAATTTCATATTATAAATGTATTTTTCTTTTTATACCTTTCCTATTTGGGAGTAAATGTAAAACCGTGATGAATTACAAAAAGGAAAATAAAAAAAGTAGATGAATTTTGGCATGAAAGGCCGCAAACTGAAGCATTTGGCAGACTGTCGCATTTTTTACTTGCAGTAGCTAAACTTTATGTGCTTCAAGACAGGGTATATTTACAGGGGTGGATGAAATAGATATTGCATAACATCATGAACACTGTATCAAGTCAGCAAAACCCAGTTGCCAAGTCAGCTTTCATATCTCAGGAACAGACATTCTGGTTCTGAAAGATTTACTGATCGGTAAAAGTATAAACCATCTGTTTACCAAAAGAAAGCGTATAAATCTGTCATCGAAATAGCACACGACCTTTCCTTTTATTTCTTCCAATCAGTCGTGTCTTTTTGAGGTCACAAATAATTAATTATAAAGCTTTAAATCAGGGGTCCTCAAACTATGGCCCGTGGGCTGGACACAGCCCACCAAAGACATTTATCCGGCCCTCTGGGCCAGCCGTAAAAATTTCAAAGAAATAGGGGGAAAAAAACAGCGCTGGCCGGCAAATAGCTAGGCTGCTCGGCCATGAGGACCCAGCGAGCGGCAGCCTGGAAGCCCAGGATTTCAACTGCTGCAGCCAGAGAAGCAACAGGAGAGGAGGAGCGCACACCAGGCACCAGGTACAGTGCATTTTGTTGTCCAGTGTGCAGGGGCGGACTGACCATTTGGAAACTCGGGCACTGTCCGAGGGCCCAGGGTCAGTAGGGGGCCCCATGAGATGCCCCTGGTACCTTTTTCATAGTTTTTTTTTTTTTTAGTTTGGGCAAGGACACAGGGGCCCCATGATCCCCTATTGCCCGGGGGCCCCATGAGTTGTTAGTCCGCCCCTGCCAGTGTGTTGCAGTGTACAGTGCATTGCGGTTTCCAGTGCGTTACAGAGTACAGTGCGTTTTGTTGTCCAGTGCGTTACAGTGTACAGTGCATTGCAGTGTCCAGTGTGTTACAGAGTACAGTGCTTTGTGGTGGCCAGTATATCAGAGTACAGTGCGTTTTGTTGTCCAGTGCGTTACAGTGTACAGTGCATTGCGGTGTCTATGTGTTACAGGTACAGTCTAGTGTGTTACAGTGTACAGTGCATTGTGGTGTCCAGTGCGCTACAGATTACAGTGCATTGTGGTGTTCAGTGCGTTTCAGTGTACAGTGCATTGTGGTGTCCAGTGCGTTACAGTGAACAGTGCATTGTGGTGTCCAGTGTGTTACAGTGTACAGTGCATTGCGGTGTTCATTGCGTTACAGTGTACAGTGCATTGTGGAGTTCAGTGCGTTACAGAGTACAGTGAATTGCAGTGTCCAGTGCATTACAGAGTACAGTGCATTGCAGTGTCCAGTGTGTTACAGAGTACAGTGCATTGCGGTGTCCAGTACATTACAGAGTACAGTGCACTGCGGTGTCCAGTGCGTTACAGTGTACAGTGCATTGTGGTGTCCAGTGCGTTACAGTGTACAGTGCATTGCGGTGTCCAGTGCGTTACAGACATTACAGTGCACGGTGTCCAGTGCGTTACAGTGTACAGTGCATTGCGGTGTCCAGTACAGTTACAGAGTACAGTGCATTGTAGTGTCCAGTGCGTTACAGAGTACAGTGCATTGCGGTGTCCAGTGCGTTACAGAGTACAGTGCATTGTGGTGTCCAGTGCGTTACAGTGTACAGTGCATTGTGGTGTCCAGTGCGTTACAGTGTACAGTGCATTGTGGTGTCCAGTGCGTTACAGTGTACAGTGCATTGAAAACTGTAACACACTGCAAAAGCAGACGTTGTAAATACATCCAATGTGCATGAGGACTTAAATTGATTTTGCATCAACTGTTTTTAAGCGCTTTCATGAGTTGTTTGAATCACTTCCTTAGTATGCCACTTCTTTACCTTGCAATCATTGGCAATGTTCCAGTTTAGGTTGGTGCACTGATCATTGCTCCAGGTGTCCAGTTTCAGGGTGCCTCATTTCTCTTGCAGCATTTTATGGAACCAGCCTTGCATGCAGGGACTAGAATTGTGTCCCTACATTGTGTGCATCAATAGAAACACACAGCCCCATAGCCTAGGATGGCAAGTCGCCCCCTCTCCCCCACTCCCCCCCCCCCCTCCTTTCTCCAAGCTAACAGACATCCTCCAGACTGCACTGTCCACTGTTAACTATTTTCTGTGAAGATGGGAAGTTCAAGGAAGCAACACTGAGAGAGCAGGAGCCAGCAGCATTGAAAGTAAACTGCCAGTGCTGGGGTAAGAACCTTAACAAATAGTTTGCTGGGGCATGTGTTTTTTGCTTGGTGTTCAATGTGTCAAACTAAAGGACGCTAAGGGTTTAATACCACTGTAACCATTCTCTGATACATTTCACTTATTGCATGGAGTTGCTCTTTAACAACCAGATGATTTCAGCTACAATGGTGCACTTTCCTCTGTGGTTAAAAACTCTGACTGTCAACTGACTGCTGTACTCAATTACTTCCAACTTTCATTTGCAGATTTGGCACATACACTGGCATTAATAAATAACGGATTACAGCATCTTCTATCCACTCAGCATCAATGGAGAGGACATATTCTGCGTGTCTGTGTGGATGGCACACACTCATAAATGGGCTTCATGAAATAAGCGATGGTTTCTAATCGATGTGTGGAATCGATGAGGAAGAGTTTGTTTGTTGTGGGGATCTGTGAGTGATGTGGCTGCTGCAGAGAAGAGAATGCAACCACAACACATTGACCATCCCGGCACAATGAAAGTGTTGCGGTTCTATTCAATTGAGTACAGAAATCATATAAAAATTAATCAGAGCGATATTCCCACAGTAGAAGGCTGCAGACTGCAGCAAAGTAGCATTTTTGCATCCTGTATTGGCTACTTGTTTAAAAAGGAGAAGAAAAAATGATGGTGCTTATGTGTTATCATTTGTTTAGTTAGGCGAGGGCCATTATCACAATTAAATATTGGTTTAAGGTGTTACTAAACCCACAACAGTAAAATCAGTCTGTATATGCAGTAATGCATGCTTGGTATACTTACTGTGGAACCTAAGGGGTTAATCCTCTGCATTGTGTAAAAAGGATGTTTGATCCTGTGGTCTCTGATCCTCCCCTTCTTCTATTGTTCCCAACGCATTTCCTGATAGAACAGAGCCTTGGGGCCAAGCTGCACATACTCAGTTTGGTATGTATGGCTAGAGAGGTTTTTTTCTATGAACCTGTCTTCTCTGATTCTCCCCTTCTTACACAGTGTCCAATCCATCTGCTGATAGTACAGAGCTCTAGGAGTGTGCATGTGATCAGCAGAGGATCAATCAGCACTGTGCATACAAAGGGCCAGGGGTTATGCAGCGTCATAGGACAGTGAGAGGAGAATGAAAACTCCTCCTACAAGATTAACCAGTGCTTAGCTGGACACTGATAGAAGTTATAAGACTGCTATGTACTGCTGATGAGAAAAGGTATTTAGCAGTTTGTATTTACTAAAATAATTGAATTTCCATGTTCTGTGTACTGTGGGAGACCATAGTGTATATAGTGAATGCATGATCCTGGGTTTAGTAACATTTTAATTCTCTTTTTTTTTCTCAATAGTTTTTATTTACATTTTATAACATATAGAGCAAACACAATTAATTATCTTTCCTACTGACAGATTTAAAGTGGTTGTAACCATCTGAAATGAGAAATGAACAGAGTATATCCTTCTATAGTATGTACTTGCTTCAATCCAAAGTCACATTGGGTGCGACTTGGCATGCAATTTGCATGCCCTGCGACTTGCAAATTGTATGCCAAGTCACGCCCTATTGTCCACTATTAGAGCGGTCATATTGGTGCGGTTCTGACTTGACGCACCGATTTCTAAAGTAGTGCATGCACTACTTTTGTTGTGATTTGCATAGACATCTGTGTCAGATGTCTTGCAAATTGCACCTGAAATCGGCAGGTCACCCGATTTTTAAATCATGCAACTTCACTGTAAGTCACACGATTTCAAAATCGGCTTTGATGTGATCGGGGGCTGAGTGTGATTTCTGTCTACTCTGTCCTCCTATCTGCATGAGTCACTTGTTAAGCTCTATGCCGACACCAGACAGTTCTGGAAGATGGCCCTGCCCCCCCCCCCAGCACACAGCCTGTGATTGATAGCCTCAGCTATGCACAAGACTTTGCAGAGGGGGATGTATCTATCCCCCCGGTCACAGATTACACTCAGCTCGCCGCTCTAAGCTGTGCAGTGTATGTGCAGTGATCCCACCCTCTGCCTTTTGAAGCTCTGAAATGCTGTGTAAAATGTGTGCTTTAAGAGGCTGTAGAGGAGAGATGGCTGCAGATAAACAGGTACAGTTTATGTAGAGGGATTTGTTTAATTTCTGTGTATAACTTGAGCTAGTCACTTCAATGGGTATAAGCAGGGGCGGACTGACCATTTGGAAACTCGGGCACTGCCCGAGGGCCCGGGGTCAGTAGGGGGCCCCTTGAGATGCCCCTGGTACCTTTTTCATAGGCTTTTTTGAGTTTGGGCAAGGACACAGGGGCCCCATGATCCCCTATTGCCCGGGGGCCCCATGAGTTGTCAGTCCGCCCCTGGGTATAAGTATAAGGGTTCACAACCACCATGTTTTGTGCCTTTGGTTTCTTCCTCCCTTCTCAATAGTTTGCACAGTCCCTAGTTAGACACTGCAAGCCTCCCTATGTTGTTCAATTTAATTAATGAGTTCCCTCAGAAAGTCAGAAGGCATGGTGCCTGAAATGTTGTTTCAACTGCAAGAATAACCCAGAAAATGGCCTCTGTTGTGTGCCAAGCTTGGAATAAACTATGTTGGATTTTACTCTGAGTCTTCTTGGTGAGTTGGCACTGCCTGTGGATCTTGTTGAGTCAGCAAGGTGCAATAATGTCTGCACAGAGTGGGTCTCAGGAGGAATGCTTAAAGTGACATTTCAAACAAAACAATGTGTTTTGATGTAATACACAGCAACCTATGCCTTGCCATAAAACACTGGTGTAAAGCCAGCCTTAAAGGGAACTTTTAAAAATTGCGCTTCACATGAGTCAGATAAGGGGATCATTAGAATACAGTGACTGCTTACTTAGGCTGGCCATACATGGATCAATTTTTTTTTTGATCAGCCAGTGGGCTGATATAAAAAATAACTGAATGGATTCCCCCTCCCAGCTTTTTTTATTGTATTCTGATAAAAGGGACTCCTCCACTGTTAGAATACACTGATCAGTGGTGCACCAATTGGTTGCAGTGCTGATTAAAGAAAAAATTTCCAACAAGCCGGTTTGAGAGAAGTTGCTCATTACATTGAGTTCTCTGGAACAGGAACAGCCATAGGTGGATCGAAATTAATCTAGTCCCTGCTAAACCATAAGAATTTCAATCCATTTATGGCTTGTACTGTACATGTGTACATTGTAAGGAGCTGCTTCCTTCTAATGTATTTGTAAATAGCTGTTGTATATACAGGTACTTTCTGTCCCTACTAGCTGTATCGGGAACCCCAATTGGAGGTGATGTCTTTTCAGGAAGTAGATACATAATTGGACCACATGACCTTTAATGCAGGAGCCGAGCTGCTGTATCATCCAGACCAGAAACAGAGACTATTCGGCAAGTGGTTTTGTTCTAATAGTTTAACTGTTGCAGCTTCTGTGTGCATCTGAAGTCTGTTGACAGAAGTATTTCTGACCTATTGGTATTATCTCACATGCAGACTGCCAGATAGGATGTAGTGGTCAGCTTGCTGGTAGGATGTAGTGGTCAGCTTGCAGTATGTTATTAGATCCTTTTTATTAAACAGAGTTTATATGGATCTTCTGTCACTTTTATTAACTGCTGTCCCTTCTGGTCCGGGATTCTCTAGCGAGCTTTAGCTCAGGGCTCATAAAGTAGGCCCAGGATAGGCATCTGACGGCCCATAGGTAGCTAGAGGTCCTGTTGTATGGCAGATTAGAAACTGCTAGTGACTGAGAAGCAGAGTAGATAGGCTGACAATAGGCTGAGACTGAATTACAGTGTCCCAACAGTTTGATCGTAAGAAACGGCATCCCAAGCCGGTTGAGTGCTGGATGGATGGTCTCTGCATCACCACGGACCCAGTATTCAGCTCTTTGGAACCAGAACAGACATCACACCTGTAATCATCTCACAGGGGCCCCAGTAACTTGACTTTGCTACAGTTTTCAGCTGGCTCTTCAGATTGTAAGCAGGGGCTTGTGGGCTATCATTTAATGTTTTACTGCTGCTGTATTCATTGCACTGTGTAGTTATACAGACAGAGACAGGATGCCCGATGAGAAACGGTTAACTGTGTCTAGACTCTTTTCTGGGTACTGCCTCAGCAGCTTGCTCTGGGGACACTCAGCAGAGGGGAGGAGCCAGGAGCACCAGGGGGGGACCCGAGAAGAGGAGAATTGGGGCTGCTGTTTGCAGAACCATTGCTCTGAATCTTTAATATCACTTTAGCTTGGCTTGACAAATCCTAGGCACCAGATCGCCATGGTGTCCTGGATTCTGGGTTCACACATTACCTCCCATTGACTTCAAAGCAAAATCACATTCCAATGACTTTAATGCAAAATCGTGTTCCATTGACTTCTGAAAGCAAATACGCCCCCTATTGACTTCAGTGCAAAAAATGGCCATTATTGAATTCAATGCAAAATCATATCCCATTGACTTTAATGCAACCCCCCCATTGACTTCTTTGCAAAATCGCGTCCCATTGATGCCAATGCAAAATCACGTCCCTTTGACTTTAATGCAAAAACACCCTCAATTGACTTCAATGCAAAAATGCCCCCAATTGACTTCAATGCAACATCGCGTCCCATTGACTTCAGTGCTAAATTGCATCCCATTGACTTCAATGCAAAATTGCCTCCCATTAGCTTCAATGCAAAAACGCCTCCCATTGACTTCAAAGCAAAAACTCTTGTCAATAGCAATCCTATGTGAACACTGATCTCCGCATGTCACTCTACTCTATCACTTGCAAGTCTGAAATGCAACACTACAAATGCAACCCTTTACAAATGGCACTCATGCGTGTGGATCGCATCTGTGTGAGCTACCTCAATAGGAACACATAATATTTAGCCTGTCATGGGAATCTGTAAGTTTTTAAACACATCCAGAATCATATATGTGAGAACCAGGGTTCCTCCATTCACACCTGGGAATGTGGATTGCGGCACAATCGCTGAGATCACAAAACGCAGGTTCAGGTGCCATTATTTTCAATGCCACCTAAAATATGGTGCCGTTTTGCCATGATTGTCGTGCGGAAAATCACATCACAAAAGTTGCCTTGCCCTGGCCAAATAAAAAACCTGATTCCTTTTTTAGCTGGCTCCTAGATTCAAAGCAAATTTGTCAAGCCCTGAAGGTGTAGAGGAAGAGAACAGTTGGTACGAGTAACCAAAGACTGGTGTGGAGTGTACAGCAGTCTGTCATAAATTGTGGTACCTGGCATGGTGGAAGGTCCTCCAGTAGCAAGGGGCTTGGTGCTCTGACTCCCTCCCCAGCGGTCAGTTCCCTAAGGTACCGGGACCCACGGACACCTACAGTCTGGCCGCATGGTGTGAAGAAGCAGCAAGAGATAATTTAGTGTACCCATGAGGTCCATGCTATGTGCATGGCAGAACCCCATTCTGTCTCTGGGGGTGAGGTGGCAGAGGTACGCTGGACAGGGAGAGAGGGCACAGGCTCAGCAGTGTCCTTCCTAAATGCGACACATTACAAGGATGGTGGGTAGTGACCCGGGATGTAATACTTCACTTCACAGAGCAACTCTGTAGGTCACACAGCTACACAGTGTGCAGCTCATATCTAAGCTGGTGTATCGCCATAATGTTGATGTCACATGAACGTGGCCCCACCTGTTCTTAGGCGTTGATGAGCACGCACATCACAAAAAAAAGTACCCCAAGCACAGGGCCAGAGTTCACTGACCAAGACTGGTTAGAATTTGAGGATACATACAACTGAAACCGTTCCATCGCAGTCACCCTACACCGGTTAGATTCCACAAAATGGGTCTTTGCCCTTCTGTAGATTGCTTCCAGGGCTGCGGAGATACAGCTGTTTTTTTTCATTGCTTCTGGTCCTGTCACTATGTCAAAAAGTTTTGACTCGGGGTCAATGACTTTATCTCCTCAGCTCTGGGACTTCCCCGTATTTCCCGTCTCCAAAATTGTTTATTAGGTATTATTACCAATTTCTAAATATGCTAAAGTGCTGGTATGTAAACTCTACTTTTATACTAGGAAGACAATCCTCCTAACATGGAAATGATTGTACAAACTTACTGATGAACTCAAAAAACACGTCTTTAATAAAAGTATTGGGTGGGTGGATTCCAACCACATATACCTACACTTGATCCAGGGTCCTGATTAGCCCTATATATGATACTGGCTTTGAATACTTGCTATGTGACCATTTTCTCTTGCCCTGTATATGCCTTGGTATACTTGTTATGTGATGCAAAGAGACATGAAAGACTAGCATGACCGTTGTACTTCTTGTTGTACTTTACATACATTTTATTGCCAAAATCAATAAATACAGTATATCTGTAAAAAAATAACCATATATACCCGGGTATATATGAACATCTCCACCAGGACTCCTGTTGGGTTTATTTGCTGATCTGATAGGTTTGCACACTCATCAGCCACTTTACTAGACACACCTTGCTAGTGCCAAGAAATTATCCCCCACACCATTACACCACCAGCCTGAACCGTTGATACAAGGCAGGATGGATCCATGCTTTCATGTTGTTTATGCCAAATTCTGACCCTACCATCTGAATGTCGCAGCAACCAGTCTGCCCATTCTCCTCTGACCTCTGACATCAACAAGGCATTTTCATTCACACAACTGCCACTCACTGGATATTTTCTCTTTTTCTGACCATTCTCTATAAACCCTAGAGATGGTTGTGCGTGAAAATCCCAGCAGATCAGCAGTGTTTGAAATACTCAGACAGCCCATCTGGCACCAACAGCCATTCCACGTTTAAAGTCAAAATCCCCTTTCTTGCCCATTCTGATGCTTAATTTGAACTTCAGCAAGTCTTCTTCACCACATCGAAATGCCTAACACATTGAGCTGCTGCCATGTGATTGGCTGATTAGCAATTTGTGTTAAAGTAATTGAACAGGTCTACCTATAAAGGTGTCCCCTTTCTTTATCCATTATTTCTATACTGCTATGTGTCTGTATGGTTGTTGTTATACTGCAGGTGCAGTGGTTCCTTGCTTCACATTTCTTTGCAAGTTACTAGATTTGCTGGTTTGTGTACACCATATTTAGATCTGAAATGATGGTTTTGGTAAACAGTGGCAATAACATCGTATCACATAAACAATTGTAACTGACAAGATTACATTCTATGGTACCCCTGATCTCAGAAAATGTAGAATGTTTTGGGGTCTTACATGTGTTTTTATGTACACAATGTGAGTTTTATCATTTGTGTGCAATTTCTAAAAAAGGCTGCGGCGGCAAAAGGGTTAATGCTTTGGCCAGTAATATAATCTTCCTGCGGCAACAATATCTGACATTTTGAAGGATCAAGGAATCCTGATGTAATACTTTTCAGAAATGTAATAATTTTCCTCTAATATACGTTAAAAAACCCTTTAATCGCCTCTGGTCACAACTCTGTTATGCCAATTTAGTTCTGCCGTTTTCTAAGAAACATCTCATTTTGTATTCAGAAATTAAGTACTATTGAGCTGTACGGTTAGGTCTCTGTTTATAAAGGGGCCAGTCTGGCAGAATTTAAATAGCTGCTATTAAAGGCCAACCCCAGCCAAAACTTGGGTATGCAAAATTGCTGGCATGTCTGTGCCCACAGACACACAAAGGGGAACCCCAGCCCCAATCCCTTCTCACTGGATTTGCTGACAGCAACAAGAGTCCCACTGCTGTGTGAGCCAATGAGGAGAGAGAGACCCCGGAGAGCCGCTGCTCTCATGCACATTGCTGGATCGAGAAGGGGCTCAGGTAAGTATAAGGGGAGGCTGTGGGGGGAGCTAAAACCAGAAGTTTTTTTACTTTTTTACCTTCACGCATAGAATGCTTAAAGGTGAAAAAAACCCTTCTGCCTTTAGAACCACTTTAAAGTGTTACTAAACCCACAACAGTAAAATCAGTCTGTATATACAGTAAAGCATGCTTGTTATATTCACGGTGGAACCTAAGGGGTTAATCCTCTGCATTGTGTAAAAAGGCTGTTTGATCCTTTCTTCTCTGTTCCTCCCGTTTTTCAAGCGACCACCACTTATCTCCAGACTGAACCTTAGGCATGCACATGCTCAGTTTAGTGTATATTGTTAGAAAGGTTTTTTTTCTTGGGAGAGTGCATGTGATCAGCACATTGCCAATATGCACTGTCCAGACAGAGGGTCAGGGGTTATGCATCCTCCTAGAGCAGAAAGAAGACTCCTCCTACAAGCTTTAGCTAGTGCTCGGCTGGACACAGATAGAAGCCACAAGACTGCTCTAACGTCTGGTGAGAAAAGGTATTTAGCAGTTTATATTTACTAAAATTATTGCATTTCTATGTTCTGTGTACTGTGGGAGACCAGATATAGTGAATGCGGGGTCCTGGGTTTAGTAACACTTTAAAGTTCATTAATTTGTGTAAGCAGCACTTCAGAGGTGGGGAACTCTACACTGAAAACAACCCAGGGCCAAAAGGTACATATATATATATATATATTTTAAAAAAAAAAAAAAAAATTTAGGCTCCATGCACACTACCATTTTTTATCAGCTCAAAAAAAAAAAGCTCAATGAAAAACTCTGCTAATATCATTTTTTTGCTGGCTTTTAGTAACATTTTAGGTAGCTTTTACAAGCATTTAGAAGCGTTAGTGTTTTATTAGCATTTTTACAGTACATGTAGGAGAAAAAAAGCTATAAAAAAACTTTTTAATAGCGTTTAGGAGCGTTTAAGAGCATTCAGCGTTATTTTTTCTTCCAGAAAAACGCTCCCAAAAACTCTATAAACACTATTTTTTTTCCTACACCTAATCGCTAAAGCTTGAAAAACGCTCATAACTTAACGTAGACAACACTATTTAGCTTCTACAACCCCTTGCAAAAAGTATGGAATCACCACTCTTGGAAAATGTTAAATCAATTGTTTATTGTGTAGAAAAAGAAACTAATCACAGACTTGCCTCAAAACAATTTTCACTTAACATTCCAACCTTCTGGCTTGAAGAAACACTTAAAAAAATGAAAAAGAAAGAAAACTGTAGTCAGTTGCAACTGTTTTGGCAGATCAAGCAGAGGAAAAAAATATGGAATCACTCAATTCTGAAGAAAATATTATAGAATCATGAAAAAAAACACTACAGTACACCACTAGCACTTTGTTGCACCACCTCTGGCTTTTATAACAGCTTGAACTCACTAAGGCATGAATTTAACTATTGACAAATAGTATTCTTCATCAATCCGGCTCCAGCTTTCTCTTATTGCAGTTGCAGATCAGCTTTGCAGGTTAGAGCCTTGTCATGGACTATTTTCTTTAATTTTCACCATAGATTTTCAATTGGATTGAGGTCCCGACTATTTGAAAGCCATACCGTTGACATTATATGACTTTCTTGAAGGAAAGTTTTCACGGCTTTTGCCCTATGGCAAGATGCATTATCATCCTGAAAAATGATATCTTCATCACCAATCATCCTTCCAATTGATGGAATAAGAAACGTGTCCAAAATCTCAATATAAGCTTGTGTATTTATTGAATATTTAATGACTGTCATCTCCCCTGTACCTTTACCTGACATGCAACCCCTTATCGTCAATGATTGAGGCAGTCATCTTTACACATTTTGTTGGAACGGCACCAAACAAAAGTTCCAGCATCATCACCCTGCCCAATGCAGATTCGTGATTTATCACTGAATATCACTTTCATCCAGTCATCCATAGTCCATGATTGTTCTTCTTTAGCCCACAGTAACCTTGTTTTTTTCTGTTTAGGTGTTAATGATGGTTTTAGTTTGGCTTTTCTGTATGTAAATCCCATTTCCTTTAGGCAATGTCTTACAGTTTGGTCACAGAAATTGACTCCAGTTTCTGCCCATTTGTTCCTCGTTTGTTTTGTTGTGCATTTTCTGTTTTCAAGGCATATTGCTTTACTTTTTCTATCTTGACGCTTTGTCTTCCTTGGTCTACCAGTATGCTTCCCTTTTACATCCTTCACATTTGATTTGTACTTGGTCCAGATTTTAGACACAGCTGACTGGGAACAACCAACATCTTTTGCAACATTCCATGATGATTTACCTTCTTGAAGTTTTATAATCCTCTCTGTTTCAACTGACATCTCTGGTGTTGGAGCCATGATTCGTGTCAATCAGCTTGGTACATCAGCTCTCCAAGGTGTGCAAGAACCCTTTTTTAACTGCACACTAATTAGCAGATGTAATCCGATGCAGAGGTTTGTTTTAGAATTGACTACAGTTTTCTTTATTTTTTTATTATTTTAAGTGTTTCTTAAATCCAGAAGGTTGGAATGTAAATGAAAATAGTTTTGAGGCATGTCTGTGATTGTTTTTTCCTACACAATTAAACAATTGAATGAATATTTTCCAAGAGTGGTGATTCCATACTTTTTGCCAGGGGTTGTAGGAGTCATAAAATGCTTCTAGGAGCTTACAAAATGCTACTTGCCTAGAGCCTCAATAGTTGCAGCTTACCTTTTTAGATGCTTTTTAGTTCCCTTTGTTCTCTTTGGGCTGGGCAGCTGTGTTTGCCATATTAACTCTGTCTGTACTATGCAGGCAGATTCTCATTATCAGTTATAACTAGATGCACTAGGGGGGATTTACTAAAACTTGATCACTCAGAATCTGGTGCAGCTGTGCATGGTAGCCAATCAGCTTCTTTCAATTAAGCTTTGACAATCAAACCTGGAAGCTGATTGGTTTCTAGGCAGAATTTAGTAAATACCCCCCCATCTGTCCTAACAAAGGGTTAAGGGTGCAGAAGCTGGACTTCTTGCATTGTATGTTAATGAGGACAGACTTGGGACTGACTTATTCCAACATTGTTAAAAAAAAACCTTTCAGTCAGCTATGACACGTCCCCCTGAGGAAATCTATAAGGTAAGAAAGGAATTGGAACATATAACAAACGTGGGGTTTTTGGACAGCAAAAGTGGAAATACACTTTAGCCTTGAGATGTAATCAAGGAGCATAGGCTACCTGCTGGGCAGTTCTGATTGTTTTACTATATATTGCTGTAGTGCACCAGTCCAACCCAATTCCTTCTCTTTCTAATCTAGAGATCCTCTGACATACCGGCCATAAAAAAGTCTCATTGCTTCTTCTCACACAAAAAGTCTGATATAAAAAATGGCCAGAACAAAGCTCAATATGCAATAGTATAATTTCTTTCAACATTTTTCATCATAAGAATGTTGTAAAACCTTTTGTTAGTTCTTCTAATCATTAGTGTGATCAAATCAGTGTTTGTTTGGCCTTCAGTAACAAGGAAATTCGAAGAGGCAGAATTAAACATTTTTCTCAAATGTACAAATTTCTAATAGTGTATGTGGTTTTCTTTGGTAAAGTCCATTCATTCCAGAATCAAATGTTAAAAGCGAATGAAATCTTGAACTACTTTCGAGCAAGTAAGAATGTTTCGTCAAAATTATCTAAGAATTTTTGCAGGATTTTATTTCCAAAATTCTACTAGTGTATACCTAGCTTAAGAAGTTTCTTAGAGCCAACAATTAAATTTCAACCTTACCTGTGAAGGACGAATGGGATTGGTGATGCAGGAGGCCAAGAGAGAATGTTGATTCTACTGGGTGGATGTTATCCTTTCATGGAGCTGTGTGGAGAGGATGTAAAAGCAAACAATTGAAGCACATACTAGGAAGCCTCCTGGTTGAGTGTGTATTAGATAGACTTCAGCTTCGCCTCCTCCCAAGCCACACCCCGCTAATGCGTTTCACCCACTCGTGGGCATAATTGGAGATCTACAACTAAGCACATGAGTGGGTGAAATGTGTTAGAGGGGTGTGGCTTAGGAGGAGGCGAAGCTGAAGCCTGTCTGATTATTATATTATACAGGATTTATATAGTGCCAACAGTTTGTGCAGCGCTTTACAAAATGAAGGTAGACATTACAGTTACAATATACAGTCAGGTCCATAAATATTGGGACATCGACACAATTCTAACATTTTTGGCTCTATACACCACCACAATGGATTTGAAATGAAACGAACAAGATGTGCTTTAACTGCAGACTGTCAGCTTTAATTTGAGGGTATTTACATCCAATTCAGGTGAACAGTGTAGGAATTACAACAGTTTGCATATGTGCCTCCCACTTGCTAAGGGACCAAAAGTAATGGGACAGAATAATAATCATAAATCAAACTTTCACTTTTTAATACTTGGTTGCAAATCCTTTGCAATCAATTACAGCCTGAAGTGTGGAACGCATAGACATCACCAGACGCTGGGTTTCATCCCTGGTGATGCTCTGCCAGGCCTCTACTGCAACTGTCTTCAGTTCCTGCTTGTTCTTGGGGCATTTTCCTTCAGTTATGTCTTCAGCAAGTGAAATGCATGCTCAATCGGATTCAGGTCAGGTGATTGACTTGGCCATTGCATAACATTCCACTTCTTTCCCTTGAAAAACTCTTTGGTTGCTTTTGCAGTCTGCTTTGGGTCATTGTCCATCTGCACTGTGAAGCGGCGTCCAATGAGTTGTGAAGCATTTGGCTGAATATGAGCAGATAATATTGCCCGAAACACTTCAGAATTCATCCTGCTGCTTTTGTCAGCAGTCACATCATCAATAAATACAAGAGAACCAGTTCCATTGGCAGCCATACATGCCCACGCCATGACACTACCACCACCATGCTTCACTGATGAGGTGGTATGCTTAGGATCATGAGCAGTTCCTTTCCTTCTCCATACTCTTCTCTTCCCATCACTCTGGTACAAGTTGATCTCGGTCTCATCTGTATATAGGATGTTGTTCCAGAACTGTGAAGGCTTTTTTACATGTCATTTGGCAAACTCTAATCTGGCCTTCCTGTTTTTGAGGCTCGCCAATGGTTTACATCTTGTAGTGAACCCTCTGTATTCACTCTGGTGAAGTCTTCTCTTGATTGTTGACTTTGACACACATACACCTACCTCCTGGAGAGTGTTCTGGATCTGGCCAACTGTTTTGAAGGGTGTTTTCTTCACCAGGAAAAGAATTCTTTGCTCATCCACCACAGTTGTTTTCCGTGGTCTTCCGGGTCTTTTGGTGTTGTTGAGCTCACCGTGCGTTCCTTCTTTTTAAGAATGTTCCAAACAGTTGTTTTGGCCACGCCTAATGTTTTTGCTATCTCTCTGATGGGGTTGTTTTGTTTTTTTCAGCCTAATGATGGCTTGCTTCACTGATAGTGACAGCTCTTTGGATCTCATCTTGAGAGTTGACAGCAACAGATTCCAAATGCAAATAGCACACTTGAAATGAACTCTGGACCTTTTATCTGCTCATTGTAATTGGGATA